GTAAATTTTTAAACATGACATCACACTGCATTTTTTAAATGCACATTTTGCGGAAAACTATAAGAGTAAATTGTATTTAATTTTGTTTTTTTTGTTGTTGTTTTTTAAATTGTGATATGCCCACATATAGGAGGTATAATATTTCAAAAAAACAGAAACAAAGAAAAGAAAACTTAAATAATGTTTATTAATAATTCACAAAAGAAGAAAACAAGAGAATTTGCACTATATGTTTTTATGTATGTAAATCTAAATGTTCCACGCATTATTATGTACGTGCATTTGAATATATTTCACATGTGTCCATACTGTATACAAAATGTATAATGTATTTTGCCTGCTAAGTTATGACCTTAGAAATTCTAATTAATTTTTTTTTCATACTAAAACTTTGTATGTTTTTTAAATTGCATGCTCAAATTGTGATATTTTGCAAGTACAATTGTACTATGTTAGTTATATAGTACTATTATGTACTAATAAAATTCATACTAATATTAAAATTCAATATGTACTATAAAACATGACATTTAATAATATACATATATATTGGTATTGAATATTTCATTACTTTGATTATAAAATTGCAGATATAAACAAAAACGGTGTGAAAGTTGTGTATGTATGTATGTGAGCATTTAAACTATTTATATGTAGTCATCATTTGTACATATGGGAGATGTGTGTAGATATATGGCAAGTAAAATTATAGTGAGTTAGTAATAGAGGGGATGGAGGCAAGAGGTCACTTAACACTGGCGCAATAAGAGGCCAGTTGCCAGTACTCCGTAGTGTAGCATGTAGTTAAATTGAAATTCATCCAAAATTCGTCTTCATCTCGGTGTTTAATCAATGATTGAAACAATGTTGCACATCCTTTGCCCAAAAAAAAATGTTCTGGCAATAACAAAAATAATTTGACAAGACCGTATTTACGTGTGTGTCCAGTGCATATTAGTCTAAATTGCCAATAAAAGATGGTTTCCTGTCAAACTAGCCACATTAATGAGATACTTAGCACACCAAAGTTTTTGCCTCATCTTTACTATTAATGTTCGGACTACCTCACCAAATCCTTTTTTTTAGTGTCAAATAACTCATGTGCATGTTTGTTTTTTGAAAAATTTTAAATTGAGGTGAAATTGGAGAAAATAAAAGTGAAAAAAAAAACATAAAAATTTTGAATTTTTATGCTATTTTGATTAAAATAAAAGTATGAGAATATTTTCTTTTAAGAAAATTGAATTGTTTACCATTTTCGATGGAAAATTTAAGGAATCAAGCAAAAGACAGCGAAAACAACAATTTTATACAATGTTGTGCATTAAAAATTAAAAAAAAAACTATAAAAATATTTGATTTGGTAATGAAACTTTTAACGCACAATAATTACTCAATTGAGATTCGATATTTTACAAACGTTCTATTCTTTGGCTTCATTAATTAAATTTTTAATTGAAGTTACTTCAAATTTTTACCTATATATGTATAAATATGTATATAATATTAAAATACGTATAGTATAAGCAATCATTAGTTTATTAATTCGCCATATCGTCGGCTGAGTGCTATTTTGATCCATACGCGATTTTCGTAATTTCTAACTTAAGACCACTTTCATATATAGGTTTTCGAAGATGATCTTTCAGTATATGTAATTAGTTTTTCGCTATCTCATTTAGTTATCAATATTATTGTATGTTTAGCTATAGTTTTAAAGATTTAATTTCACGAAATTAATAAAAAAATATGACTTTTGTTTTAAGGCTATGAGCAAATGTTTATTGTAAATGAACACCTATTCATATATATGTGGATACAAATTCATGGCATTGTTTTTTTTATTAATAATATAATAATTACTTTTGTCGATGATATAAACCCTAAATATATATGTATATATTAGATATATATAGTTTATTATAAAAATAGAAGAATAGAAATGACGAATTAATTAATCATCACGATTTTTACTATTGATATACAAGTCTGATATATTAAAATTTTAATCATCTTATATACATTTATCATATAAATTTTGCTAAAATTAGAAATTTTTTTTGTTAAAAACATGTAAAACAAAACATTTTTTGTTGTAGAATAAAAATTTCTGATTCCTCTCAAAATCTGATCTATTCAATTTTAAAGGATTGCAAACAAAATGGCTATTTTATACACATTCATTTTTAATACCGAATAATATTAATGAAATTTAACTGAATGGTAGGATTAAATTAACAAAAAAAATAATATTATATTTTCTGGAATGTTATACTAATAAAGTTAATAATTATTATATCTGCGTTAGTATTTAATTTAAGCGAGAATTCCCCCTTATATGTTTACAGCACGTTTTTATGTTCTTTTCAATTTAAATCTGCAATTTTCTTATTAATAAATAAAAAAAAATAATTCTCGACCTACATATTTTCAGTTTTATATACATACATAAGTATGTAATTAAAAAGTATTGTTATCAAGAAAATAAATATAGTGCATACATAATATATGTATATACAAACAAACATGTGCACATTTTCTTTTTAGTTTTGCTGTTATCAAATTATGAAAGCTTAACAATTTTAAAACTATACAATTACAAATTATATGAGATTGTGTTGCAACACATTTTTTTTATATTATATATAGAACAACATATAAACAGTTTATGTGCATCGGATTATTCAAGAGAAAAAGTAAATATTTTGATTCTGTTATAAATTTATTTAAATTAAACTTTGAAGTTTTTAAAAAAATGTTAATAAAATATTTATAATTGAAATTTATTATACTTGGAAATTATAATAAAATATACTTAAAATTTAATTGTATACATATAACTCTTTCTTGTATAAGAAAACTTGTATTCTTAAAAATTCAGTTCTTAAGTTCTGTTTCTGACTTAAGACCACTTTCATATTGGTTAAGTTCTGTTAAACTTATAATTTAATTAAATAATATGCTCGAAATTTGTTGCTACTATAGTAAATTATTAATTACTATATTGTAATTATTATTATAGTGATACAGAATAAGTGTTGCCAATCTAATCAGTTATGACTTCTTCAAAATACAATTTATTGATAGACTATACCAATATAATAGTTAAGAAGTATAACAATTAATGTACATGTTCAGAAAAAATTACCATCATAAAATTGGTAATCTCAATGAAATTTTCAATTTAATGGTTATCTTTTGTTTTCAAGTTAATTAACAATATTGTGTAAGTACTTTAAAGTTAAAATAATGATTAATATTCTGTTAATAATTATCTCAAATTTCTTAAGATAATTAATAACATAATATTACAATACAATAATATTATTTCATTAACAAATTTTTATTAAAAAAATATAATTTTAGAACTCTTAATAAAATTTATTTTGTGGAAATAATGGGTGATTTTTTTTTTGGGTGTGAAATCCAAATATAGAAAAATTGAAATTTCTATTTATAGATTAATAATTGAATTTGATGCTGTTTACTATTTAAATATAATTTCATGAATATGTTGATTAAAACCATTCCGAATAATAGTTTATAGTGCTGTACGTAAGATAATTTTCGTAATTACACAATGAAACTACTTTTTTGAGGAGCGCTAGTGAGTATTAAGTTTTTTTATTCTAAAACAATGTCACTCAAAAAGAAGTTCTATTGTATAATTACAATAAATGCCCTCTTAATAGCAGTATAAACTACACGCACAATGCCAAAACTAAATTTTTTGTATATACATTATGCAGGTGTTCTTACGATTGATAAAATTATTTAAAACTTTTTCAAATATTTAGATCGGTATAATATGTTACCCATTAAATATTCAATATTGTTTTTCAAAATTGGAATCAATGTTGGGCAATCGGTGTAAACAAAACATTTTACATATACGCCACTATAAAAATAGTTTAAAAGACGTCAAATCACTTGATCTCGATAATCAATTGACAGATCCGAAATATAAAATTAATAGTTGATCAAACATTCTTATATATTAATTTATATAATATAAGTATGTATATTTGTTAAATAAATACGTATTAATAATTTAAAAAAATTTCTCACAATTTGACATTGGGAACTGCGAGAAATCACGCGGGAAAAGTCAAAAATAAAAACATAAATAATCACACACACACACAAAAAAAATAACACTTTTATAATAATATTATTTCCCGTTAATTTTAAGGAATATTAAGTGTTAAACTAAAAAAATTATTTAAAAATTTCTTTATTTTTATAAATTATTTTTATTAATTTTGATATGAGTAAATGTATACATATACATGTATATGTATGTAGGTATGTAGATGCTGTTATATGTGCAAAACTTTTCATTTATGATCTAAAATATTTTTGAAAAAAGAAGATAATAAAATCTTAAATTAATAATTTTATTCTAAATTTTCATAGTTTTTATGAATTTAATTAAACAAATAATTATTTTGACTCTTCAGCTGTGCTGATTTTAATAAGCATACAAACACAATGTTAACTTTTAAATTATAAAAGACAAAGCCATACATGTGCATCACTTCTTTTCGTATGCATAACACAATTGTTCTATTTGTGTGTTCCAATGAAGAAAGATTCTTTTGAAAGAACTTGAATTTTCTTTAATAAATTGTGAAGATACGTCAAAGGAGTGTCATATGTACCATTTTAAAAATTTACAAATTTTTTTGTTCTTTACAATTTGATTAATTAGTTTGTGCAAAAAAAAAAAGTTGAAAAGATTTTTATAATCATCGTGTAATATTTAAAATTAAATTTTAGAAGGAATCGTGCATTGCAACTTTTAAAACCAGTTTTTATCATTACTTAAATCTTTATTATATTCTTTGTCTCTCTTTTTTTTATTACATTTTAAATGATTAAAGAGTTAAAAAAAAATTAATTTTTTTTAAGATTTAAAGAAAGAGTAGCTATATTAAGTAAAGAATATTAAAATTATGTAAATTTTTATTAAAGAAACAAAAAAAAAATGAAAAACCTACCAATTTCTTTTGAATAAAGAACACATAAAATTAAAATACTAATAACGGTAGTTTTAAACATTGCAAAAATTTATGTTTATTTTATATTTTTTTCTATTTATTATTTTTATTTTTTTTACTACTTCTACTCCTCTCTTTTCTCTATTTTCGAATTATATTAATTTTTTTTTTTTTGTCACAGAATTTAATAACTTTTACTTTCAACCAGGTAAACTTGCTGATGAATTGTTAGAAATGAACTAAAATTTTAAAATCGTTCTGAAAACCTTTTAAGCTCACTTTAAAGCTAATGCTGTTAACCAACAACTAAAAGCTTAAGTATTTAGAAATTCTCTTTTATATTATATTTCATTATAATGATAATGATGCCCATCATCAACGGAACATTAAAAAACAATATTAAAAAAAACAAAAACAAAAAAGAACAGGTAAAAATGCAAAAAAAGTGAAAAAGGAAAATAAAAAAGATAAAATTTTATAAACATGGAAAAGTTATTGACATACAGCAAAATCTATTTTGAGTTGATAAAATTATAGAAACACAAACAACTTTAAACTTACTCTACACAAATTGTCTACACAAATATTTACATATAGAATGGACACTATTAATACATGCATAATAGACGTTTCGTTTTTTCAACTCAGAAGTTGATTCCGAGTTATCGGAGTAACCTATGATTAGATGAATAAATTTTGTATGACCTAGAGATCATTGATTTTAAAAACGAACTAAATAGAGAACTTATTCTGTTATTTTTTTATTTTTCAAATTTGTAGTTTTAAAATATTAAAGGACAATTTCTGTAGCATACGCATATGCTCTGATTTTAATTTCTATCTGAATTCTCGACACATTTCATCTACCCGATGATAAAATGGGTTCGAACGAACATAAAATATTAAGTAACATTTTCTTTTTTGAGCACTCCTTCTTGAGCCCAATTTTTATTGAAAACGGTCAAATATTTACATTTCCGCTTATAACTCAGGAAATAAGACAGACAAATCCACTGTTGTCCATAAATGAACTCCCAATTTGTATTTATGTAATTATTTGTTGTGGAAATTTGAAAAATGTGTGAAATTTCCCGAATCTTTAAATAAATTTTTAAATATACATATATAGAGCAATTTCTTTACTTGTTTTGATCTTTATGTGTTAAGTAAATTCATTGTGAAGAAAATCTCACCTGTTCTGACACAACTTTAATAATGTCGTTTCCCGCACTTTATTTCTAGTAATTAATTAAAATTAAAAAAAAAAAAATGGGTTTGCCGTTTGACATTTTATTATTTTCATTCTCATTTCAATTAAATTAAATAATTAAAATTTTCAATACATAGCCTATTAATAATTTAAATATGTACTAGCTATTAATAATAATTTTTAAAAATTTCCAATAATTTGTAAATTTAATTTTTTATCAAAACAGTGCAATAATTTGGCCACTACATTTAAGGTAACGAACTTATAGCAAAATTATATATTTTTATACTTTTAACACATTCTTATTCATCTTGTACTCGTATATCAGTATATTTAGTTTATGTGTATGTGAATTCACATAATTTTTTACTTTTTTTTTTTTTAATTTTTTATTATTATTTTTTGGTTTTTTATAAATAAACAGACTATGATGGTCCTCTCAGAACTGTTCTTCTTTAAAATTATGTTGGTCGTTTTACCTATAAAAAATATTTTTGTTTTGTTTTTTTAATTTTTTATTATTTTTATTCAAAGTAAATATAGGTAATGAGGAAAAAATAAAAAAAAAATTTCTGTTCTGGTAATGATGTAACCAATTTTTTACTGTACACAGCCAGAAAACCAATTAAAAATTATATGTACGAGTGTACGAACGCAAAAGTTCTCCTTATAATATTAGCGAACAGGTATCCTATCTACGTTATCTACGTTTTTATACACATATATTTAATATACTGCGAGGAAAATCAAAAAAGGAATTAAGAAAATAGATTTTAGCTGGTTTATGTTACTCAACATTAAAATATATGTGTATATTCTTGATACTTAAGGAACACTAAAATGGGTAGGTACCTACATATGTATACCACATGTATGTAAGTAAGTAGATGCAATAATATGAAAGCAAAGCTAAAGAGTGTCAGGTAGGAAGGTATAGAGGGTTTATAAGAAAAACAAAATTAATGAGAAATTTTATTTTAATAAAATTTGCAATAAAAACAAAATTAAGATGAGATGAAAAAAAAAATTGAGAATTTTCATCGGATCGGGATTTTTTATGTAGTTCTTGTGTTTTGGAAGATTCTTATTTGACTTCAATATTATATTTTGTTGTGCTTCTTGCCGCAGTTACAAACCAGAGCTCAACTCTCAACCAGTATTCAAAAGTGAAGAAGGCAAAATAACATTTTTTTTTGTTGTTTCTCTTTAACTTTTATTTTTGGCTCATTAAAAGAGAGTACTGACCAGTAACAATTAATTGTTGTTGTTTCTCTCTATACACTAAATAATTTTTTTTTAAGGATAAAATGTAAACATAATTAGAAATAAAGACGAATTTCGTTCCGTTTTTTTAAAAAGGCAATTTGTATATAAAAATTAAGGAATAAAAAACAATTATTATGTTAATGCACGTATTTATGAATATATTATAATATAGGTATATATGTATGTGTATATGATGACAAAAATTTTTTTTTTGACACTTAAGAAAATTATTATTTTAATGTTAAAAAAATAACAAGAAAAAATTATTTTGTTAATTTTTTTTATATATATGAGCATAAGTAAATATTGTTATATGCAAAAAAAAATTAAAATCAAAAAGGAGTAGAGTAAAACCAAAAAAAATAATGTGCAATTAAAAAATTATTTAAAATAACAAGTTTTGAAATAAAATGTGTTTTTTGTTTTTAAAGATGCAGCATATTTTATGGTTATCAATTTTTAGTTTGTATATTAATTTTGTAATCTGCGGTAAATTATAAAAATCGAAATAATAAAAAAATTTTTAAGATAAAAATATTAAACGAAACGTAAAGTTGAACGGAATACTTTTGAATTACTTGACCAATGTTGTGGTAATCGTATATTAGCTTTGAGAATTGAGAGGTACTAGAAAAATACTGTAGATTTGTTCTTTAATTGGTATTATGCATACTTTCAGGAGTCTCGAGATTAATAACGACAGTTATAGAAAAAAAAAATTGTTTCCGGATTAGGAGATTTTCGATAATTCAGTTCCAATTTAGTTTTTAATATCAAGAAATCAGGAACGTTCGATAAATCCAAATTGCAAAATCTATAGTTCGAATAACTGACCATTGTGCTTAAAGTTCTAAAATAATTTTATAGGTTTTTTTATAATTACGGCAAAAATATTATAAATAGAAGAATAATAGCATAATAAAAAAATGTTGGATATTGAAGAATTACTCGAGTATGTTACAAAACTGTTATATAAAGAATTCAGTTTTTGCAGATTTGTAAGTATATATATATGAAAATGCAATTGTTTTGATATTTCACTATGATGCTTTCACATTTTTAAATTAGAACTTAAATAAATTAGACAAATTTAGTACTAAGTTTGAACTAAATTATCAAAAAACGCAAGATATTATTTTAAAATTTTCACCGCATATCTGAATTATCGAAAATCCTCTTACTTTGGTTCGGTTTTGTAAAAAAATAGATTTACATCAAGTGTAAAATAAATACCTGAATATTTGACTGTTTTACCTTATACTATAATCTTGTATTTAATTCAATAAATTTGAAAATAATCTGTGGGGAAAAGGCTTCCTTTTTTGCTATAACTGTACGAGAAAGACCTCTATTTTTATCTAATTCCCGCTATAACTCAACGACATTTTTAAACTTCTACCACACAACGTATATAAGACCGTGTCAGTTTATATTTTCTTTATTAATAGTGTGTCGGTTATTATTCTTATTTAATATTTAATTATCAATAATCGAAACCTTATATTTAATTTAATTTTTCTCTTTTAAGCAATAATGCGCAGTGTTACACACAAATACTTAACAGTTTTGACATACAAATTAATGAATATTGTTGGCGGGTCTAATTATTTAAAATTTATAATATAATTATAAACACAAAAGAAATTCTGTTTTAAGAGTTGGAAGTGTTTTATTAAAACTTATTTGACAATGAATGAAAATAATTTTATTATATTCAATGTCAACTTTAAAATTCTGACAATATTTTCTAAAGCAACAGTAAAAAATTAACCTTTTTGACTCTATTATTTTGACATATTTTTTATGATTTTTTCAAAAAATTCTAAAAAGATTAAATTAAATAAATGATCACAATGAAACAAATAAAATTGCTAAGTCGATAATAAAAATCTGAAGCCGGTGTTTTATTAAAACGATTGTTAGTGTAATCACTAAAATAAAACATAAAGATTGTATTGCAATAATAATTAAAATATTTTTTCAATTGCCAAAGCGAAAATTTTAAGTGTTTTGTATAACAAAAAAATTAAAAATTTGTAATTTTTACATATTCCCTTTGTAAATTATCTCTATAAATTTTTAGTGAGTGTATATAATAATTATTGTACATAATATAAAAAACAAAAATTGAATTAATGTTCAACAGAAATATATTTGTATATAAACATAATTAAACCTTGTCATTTTATATTTGGAGATTTGAAACAAAAAAGAACTTAAGGAATTGATATTTTTTGTGTGGTTATTCACATACAAATTAAATAAATAGTAATATATTAATATTTATTAGAAAAAATAATAATTTTAGCGACAGCTTAATCACAAATTTACTCTACTACATATTTATTTTTTATAAATTTCTCATTCGGCATTTCCTTGAACTATAAATTTAGAATTAAAATTTAATTTAAAAATAAAAATTTATTTAGAGAAACTGATAATTTTTTGACTTGTCAAAAATTTCTTTAACAAAAGAATATTTTTAAATCTTTAATATTGTAGTGTTAAAAATTAAAAAATCTGCTTTTTATTTTGGTATTTTTTTTTTTTTTTGAAAGAAAAATGTTTCATTCTGCAACACTCTATATTTTGCATGAAGTACCAATTAAAAACTTCAAAAATTGTTTTGCCGTTATTCCACTTGATGTACGTGTATTGTTTTATAAAATTCAGCACAAAATATGGCAAAATGATTCTGAACAAAGCCTCAAATAACTTATTAATCCAGCGGCCGAACATAATAAAATTGGTATTAAAAGATAACTAATAAAATTGTTTTGTGAATCTAGAATATAAAAATTATATCTTTTTCGCCCCAGCAGTTCGTCCGATCTTGCTGCATACTTCAATTGCGGTTTCACCAAGTTCTTTTTTTTTTATCTTAGGCATTATGGCCAAAATATTTTTTTTATGTTTGGCTAATTTTGGGGCGACGATTTATTAACTATATAGTAAATTAATGATAGGAAAAAATAAATTTATTGCTTTTCCAATTTTTTATTACACGTAGGCATGCTACATATTAAGATAATTCAAGAATACTGTTGAAAGTCACATATAGGTTACGATCTTTTAAATTGTGTATCGGCTTGCATAAGTAACTTGCATCTAAAAAATTCGCTATGTATACATACATATGTATATTCAAATATATTATTGAAAGAGGTGTGTACAATTGCCGTAAACCTCTGATTTATTTCATAATATGGAAAATTATAAACTTAAAGATTTGAAAATCTTTTCCTATATACTTATATACATACAATCGAAGAACAAATTCTCGATTTTGAAGCTAAGAGTTAATAATTGGGTTATTTTTTGTTTCACATAATGTAGCTTTTAATATAATTATTTCATGATAACCCAAAACGAAAACAGAAATTAAAGCATTCATTTTTATTATCATGAGCAGGATGTTAGAGGTCATATTCAGCAAAATCATTTTAACTTTATCATAAAAAAAAAGACGCTTAATAGCTGAAATTTAAATGCTTTTTATATACTAGTATAGAAAAAATGATTCAATCATCTTTTGGCTAACATAGAATTCGTTTGTTTTATTTTTTTACTGTGTTTTTCATTGGAAGATTTTTAGTACGAGTATGTTATCAAGTTTTCTACTATGGAAATATTACATATATGTATATACATATATTTTTAATTTTTATTAAATCCGTCTCAGTTAAATCTTGAAATAATTTTATTTTTTTTTTTTTTGTTTAATTGTAGGCTATAGAATGTTGAAGTTTTTGCAAATTTTTGGCATTCTTGCCATTATTGCAATTTCTGTGGTAAGTGCATAATATTTTTGTAAATATGTATATATGTACAGTTGTTTTAATATAGTAAATTTATATTGAATTTTTAATTTTATTTTAGGAAACAAAGAAACCACAAAAAAAACAAAGTACTTTATCTGATGTCTTATTAAGAGCAATGGAAGAAAAACACGTGGTAAGCAGAGATTTTTAAATACTGCAAAAGCATAAATTGCCATTTTTTTAGAAATATTCTATAAAGTCAAAACAGTTCATGTGGTTAAGTCATACTAATTTCACTAATATTACGAAAATTTAGCATTGTTTAAGAACAAACTATAGATAAGCAACATTTGTTCATAAACAAAAAAATGCCGCAGTTTTCGCTTTATATATTGCGATATACCGTGTTTATGACTCGGCCCACAAATAAAAAATTTTAATATTTACATTGGAGTGCATTCAACTTATTCATTTCAATTAGTACTCTGTACATACATATGAATATGTATTTATGTAAGTAACATTAAAATCCCTCTAAAGGAGGATCCCCTGTAAAGGAGTCGCTGAACCGACAGTAATTTTCAAAGCCATTATTTTCTATTGTAGAATTCTATTCAAAGCCATTATTATCTAATTTCAAGATTAAAAATTCTATTTCTTTACTAGTTTGTTTCTAACAATAAACGTAAATTGGTTAGACAATAAACATACATTGGTAATCTAAAGGACCCTTATTCTAAACGGCTTTGCGAGAGACACGTTCGAAAATTTCATATCCATGACTAAAGATTCAAATTCATTGAAAATTACAATTCAATAAAATTTTTAATAACAGAAAATTAAATCAAATGTGACAGTTTAATTTAAATTTAAAATTAAAAACTCTTTTGTATAGATTTTTATAATTCACTTTTTTACACCTTCACCCTTTATAAGTAATGCTGCATTACTTATAATTTATTATATTAAATTTAATTTGTATATGGGTTCACATAATGCTTTTTATGTTTAAAAAAAAAACAAATTAACACATAATTTTTAATTTTTTATATAGGCTGCAGATCTTCAACGCGAAAATGAATTAGCGGCAAGATTAGCTGAAAGTAGAAATGAATTGAGAAGCCCTGTTTATGATTTTGATCCCTGTGAAAAAATGCATTGCGGTGCTGGACGAATTTGTCAATCAAATGGTGATACTGCTGAATGTATATGTATACCAGACTGTCCGCAAGAGATTGATTTGCGTCGACATGTTTGTACAAATAAAAATGAAACGTAAATCTTTATTTAAACCAAAAAAATGAAAAATAAAATTAATTTATTTACAATAATATTTTATAGTTGGCCATCAGATTGTGCAGTTTATAGAGAAAAATGCTTATGTGATACCAATCATCATCTTTGTAAAAGTTCTCAATATCGACACATTCATATTGAATACTATGGCGTTTGTAAAGAATTACCTGTATGCTAAATATAAAGTTTTAAATTATTAAATAATTAAATTAAATTTAATTGTCTTGTATTAAAAATTTAAGGAATGTACTAAAGACGAAATGTTAGATTTTCCAAGGAGAATGCGTGATTGGCTTTTCAATGTTATGCGCGATTTAGCTGAACGTGATGAATTAAATGAGTATTATATGAAAATGGAATTAGAAGCTGAAACAAATTTAACAAGACGTTGGTCAAATGCTGCAGTTTGGAAATGGTGTGATTTAGATGGTGATTCAGATCGTTCTGTATCAAGACACGAACTTTTCCCCATTCGTGCACCATTAATTAGTTTGGAACATTGCATATCACCATTTTTAGATTCATGTGATCAAAATAATGATCATAGAATTACTTTACAAGAATGGGGCAAATGTTTGGAACTCGATGAAGTATAACATAATTTTATAATAAAATTTTTAATAAATTAATAATCAAAAATTTTTTTTAGGCTGATATGGTTGAAAAATGTTATCAACTTAGAGAAGTACATCCCAATTTAGGGTGAAAAAATCATTATTTTGAAAACGTTTTTTTATTTTTTAAATAAATTACCTATAAGGTGCTTTAAATAATGTGTAACAATTCAAATGAGAAATTTCTTTTTATAAAAATAAAAACCAAAAATTGTATAAAATACTAATTAAAATAAATAGAAATAGATTGCTATTAAATTGTGAATAATTTTAATAATTCCCTTGAGTAACAAATCGATACTAAATGTAATATAGGGCATAAACTCCTTTTGGAACCCGCTTTCAAAAATTAATAACCGTAAAGTGATATGATAACCGTTTGATAAACTAGGTTAAAATTATCAGTTTATAACCATTTAATGAACCAGGTTATTACCAACCCGGCTTTTTCATTTCTGAAAAATGAAAATGTTTACCTATAAAAATTCCAAGTAAAACAAATTTGACGATTAAATTTGTACTTTTAAAATATTCGAAACATTTTATATAGCAAGTAAAATGAAATAAAGAAATTATATCATGAACAAGCGGAATTTTAATGTTGAATAAATTATGTTCTAAAACAATTAGATTTCAACAATTTTTTTCAAATGGAAAGAAATGTGGGCAAAGGAATGCCCTCCCTCCGACTATTACAGCCAGTCATGGCTTATTGTAACCCTGTCATACCACACTTACACTACTCCGATTCCAAGCAAATACCCAGTGATATCCCTCAGGTAATTGGACGCGAGTTCTGCAAAACTGAGAAAGCCGCGCTGAAACCATTTGCACCTTCTGGCTGACAGAGCAGGACAGTCACATAGAATATGTATGACCGTATCCTTTTCACCCCTACAGAACTTAAACAAAAGAGAGTCCGATTTGCCCAGTTTGTGCAAGTATTTCACCGGCATTTCACCGGACAATGCACAGGAAAGAAGCCAGTAATAGCACGAATTGAGATTCGATCTATCCCAAGAACTCTGAGAAGTTTCGCATGATGACATCTCTCAGTAGCCTGCCAGCGAAGATTCTATTACTCTTCATGCAGAATGTCAAGTCTGATCAACAATGTTAGTGAGATTTATAATTAATTTAGATTACTAACTCGGCGTATATAATTCCGAGTATAAGTATGAGTGGAAGAACTTTAGTATTTTGAGATGATGTTGTTAATTTGCGATTTATTATCCATAAAAAAATTTTAATTGAAATTAAATGAAAATCAAACCATTAAATTTCACTTGTCGAAAATATTATCCAATATATAAATATTTAGAATTTATTGCTTGCTTAAACATTCGCTTAATAACTCCTACTGCCTCAGCAGTATCACCATTAACTTAGCTTTTGCATTTTTTTATTTACAATATAAAAATTAATTTTTTTTTCGTACATACTTTCATAATAACGGTCAAACATTTATGGTGAAAACCATGGGAGTGACATTATCAGTCTTGATCTTGACATTACAAAAAATCATATAGTATTTATATTTCGTATTTCTGTCAGCCGTGGTTTCATATACATACATAAGTATTATAAATCTAAGTTATAGCTGAAGTATCGATCTCCCAGTTTTAATTTTTTAATCATTAATAGAATAATGATACTAAGAGTACACATTATGGGATGGTTTTAATGAAAACAACAGGTAAATTTTGAGCTAGAAATCTTTCATTAATGAGCATTGTATTATGTAGCATGAAGGAGGGAAGTTCCGAAATAATGTATGTATTCCAATTTATAATGTTCAAAATTGAGTTTTATTATTAAATTATGAAATTTAAACTTAAGTATTGATTTTACATTATAAATGTATTATGCAACTTCAAAAACAATTTCCTGAGCACAACAATACATTCAATGCAAAATGTATAAGTACCAGAGTTTTATTTTTGTAATTTTAAATTAAAATTTTGATAATTACTGTTATTAAGCAATTGAAAAATTAAAATTATGCTATAATTGTTATTGAAAAAAGAAAAAATTCAACGGTAAGTTTTATTTAGTAAACAGAAAAGTCAAAACAACTCTGTAATCTCTAAGTAAGAAATCAACTTATTGTTCTCCTACTTTGATAAGTTCTTTTTTGAAAATTCGGTCCTTAAAATGACAACATCTAAACTTTAAGATTTACTTAGAAAATAGATAGGGAGTTTCCATGACTTGAGGCTTTTATTTTACAAATTGAATTTTTGGAAAAGCCCCCTAGACGTTTAATTTGGTGAAAATCATATGAAAATACTAAGTTTTAAGGTCATAACAAATGCGCAAAATGAGAATATTCAGAATGCAAAACAAGTTTTGTGGCTTTAATTCAAAAGTCAACGAATTGGTTGTTTATGGTTTAAAGGCACATACATAAGTGTATGCATATAAATTAAAACCTAAGGTTTATGTATAGATTTAAAAAATTTTATGTTAATTTATACTAAAAAGCTTATACCTACCACAAATATTTTTCAGTTGAATTCCTTATAAGGCTTTCTTATTCCTTTATGGTTCTTCGTTTGCTGAGGTACAACTGTTTACAAAATGCATTGCCGAAAATAATTTTGAACAGACAGAATATTGTATTTTGTAAAATTTATATTTTCAGAGTGCATTACTAAAAATAATAAAAGGAAATTAATATAAAAATTCCTGAAAGATTTATATAAAAATTACAAAACATAAAGTGTTCTGATTTGTTTTATTTTCATAACTTGACAACTAAAATTTTTGTTATAACTTTTTATTAAAATTTTACAATTTTAATATTCTAATTCTAAAATACAAAACTCTTGTTTTCATAACTTATAAAACTATAATTATGAAAATTATTTTTAATCATTAGCTTTGAAAATTTTACTTTGTAATTCAATTTATGTAAAAAAATTTAAGCTTAGCCAAAATTCTAATGATTTAAAATAATTTACATTTTGAAAATCGAAATTTTGATTTTGGCATTTTTTTCATTTACATATAAATTACAATAAATTTATTGTAAGTAAACTTTCATTGATAAAGTTAAATCATTTTTTTATTGAAATAATTTTGTCTTATCCTATTTTTCTTACTTCTATCTAACGATGTCAGAATGATTATTTCCTTTTTTTTTTTTTGGAAATCCAATTGCAATAAAATTTGTCAAAAACTATTAAAGTTGCTAGAATTAAATATAAAAAATTATTTATGAAAAAAAAAACCGATTTGATATTAAGAAGTAGATTAAAAATAGAAAATCAAATGGGAATTCAATAGAAATTCAATTAAAAAAGAGTAAAATTTAATTTTGAAACTTTTTTCAATTCCATAAACTTTTAAATTAAATTTATATTTAAAGATTTACTTATTATTTTCTACAAAATTATTTTATTTACAGTAAAATTGACAAAGATCATATGGAATAAAAAAAAAAATGCATTAAACTTTTGGATAACTTGTTGATTTATGTACCATTTTTTACTCATTAGCTCTGGCGATGTCCTCCTATATTAAAAAAAATAAAGTAAATGTAATCAGTTAAAATTAAAAAATCAAAAGATTTTATCTTACTTTTTTGCCAATCAAAGATTTATGAATATGTGGGATAACACCACCACCAGCAATAGTTGCTTTAATTAGACTGTCCAACTCTTCGTCACCACGAATAGCTAATTGCAAATGGCGAGGGGTAATACGTTTTACTTTTAAATCTTTTGATGCATTTCCAGCCAGTTCAAGAACCTAAAAGAACAAAAGAAGATAAGACAATTAACACAATAACAAACGACATTGTCGAACTGTAATATTTTTTTTACAATAAAGTTAACCGTTATTTGCGTATGACTTAAAGAAATTTTGAGCATTATAAGCACAAATTTGCGGTTAATAAAATAACGTTACGAATATATGTATGTATGTACATATGCATGGATGATGCAATTTACAAGCAAAATAAAATTCTTATCAATAATCTTAAAAACGAACAATGTATACTTATGTATATCTAGTATTTACAAATCACTTTATCCTTTTTTTGAACTTTTGTATAAATATGTATGAGACAAAAATAAAAAAATCCTTTTTTTTTATATACTAAAGAAATTGGAACCATAATTTGGAAAATAACTTAAATTGCTTAAAAATAAAATTATAAATTTTTATTAAAACCTAAGTGACAATTATATCTAAAATTTAAATAAACGTTCATTTAAAAATGGCGCATTATGACGCCAAACAAACGCTTAACCTATTCCTTGCAATGTACACAAACAAAGCATACACACATCACCAAACGCCATTATTTCAAAACATATCAAAATGACAGAAGTCAAAATGAAACATCTTTACATACAAATTATTCTTTTTTGTTAGCGGAGCCCTGCAGGGCCCCAAAAATATTAAATCAATAACTTACTTCTGCAGTTAAGTATTCTAAAATTGCTGCTGAATATACTGCTGCTGTAGCTCCGACTCTTCCATGACTGGTAGTTCGACTTTTTAAATGTCTGTGAATTCTTCCTACAGGGAACTTGAAAATGAAATTTTAATTTGTTAGAACATAAATGCCAAACAATCCCAACCTCAATGGATTTTTAAAAAGGCGCCAAATTGACAAAAATTCAAATTTAATATTTACCTGTAGACCTGCTCTGGCTGATCTTGAAACTGCTTTGGCTTTTGCTTTTCCTGAATCTTTTCCAGCTTTACCTCCTGCCTTTAAATAAAAATATGAAAAATAAAATAAATTCACCGGATGAAACAGAACCTTTAAGGTTAGATTTAAAATCAAATTTAATACACTACACTTTTGTTAATAATTTAAACAATTTTTATTAATAAGTGCAGCTGAGTTATTTATTTTATTACCATTTTTGTATATTAAACAAAATTCACTAAAATATAAAAGTCAACAAAACTTTCTCCGTATAGAAAAGCGAACGTACTCAACTAATATTTTTTTTAGAATGATTGAAACAAAATTGAAAAGTGTACGAGGGAGAGAGACGCCTCTAAGTTTACAGTGTTACCGTTTTTAAGAATTGCTGATCAATTCGTTAAGTCATATGCGCCATCTTTAGATGTTAATTTGAAACTTGCTGTGCAAATCATAAACAAATATTTGTTCTCCTTTCACAGACAGTAATAAATTTTAATTCAATTACTTTATAAAGGTAAATAACATAATAAGCTTTGTCTTGTTCGCGTTTTTTTCATTAAAAATTATTATTAAGTCGTAAATTATAAATAACTCGTGTTAATTTTAGCATACACTTTGAGGTTGCCAAAAAATAATCCAGTTATAATAAAAAAAATTTTATTATTTTGTATTTTCAACTCTAAATATAAAATTTTCAAATGCCTTTAAAGTATTGCAATGTAAGTTCCTACCACTTGTAAGTAGCACATTGCTTTCCATTGGTTAGAAATATTCATTTCATATTTTAATGTTCATGAAATATGTAAAAATCAAAATACCCGTGATTTTTTTAAGTGAAAAGTAAATTGTAATTTGTTATTTTGAGATTATTAAACTTATTTTTTTTTATGTACGTACATAAATATGTACGCGTATAAAAGAAAAAAATTTTTAATTTTCATAAATGCAAAAAGCTTCTTTAACTATAAATTATAAGATTCTTTGAACCAAATAATCAAAACAAAATAATTTTAGTAAAACCTAAAGAGTGAAAACGTCTTGAAATCAAAAATTTTTAAAAAATGTAAATGTTAAAAGAAATAGGTTTTTAGGAAATAAGCATTATTTTGCAAAATTTAGTTCAATAGATTGTCTATAAATACTTGACGAAGAAATCAACTCCAAAATATTTGACTAATAAAGTATGTTTCTCGGTAAAATACGGCAGCACTGAAATGTGACAACTTTTCAACTGATTGCAACAACATCAGAAAGGAACGTTTTATTTATGAAATTGTGGCGGTTGTTTCCCTTTCACAGAAGTTCTACAAGTATTTTTTCCTAAAAGTTGAAAATAGCATTAGAAAATTTTTAAAACATTTACATTTGAAAAGCATGCCCCGTGCAGTTAAAGCTACTAACCCGAAGAAACCACCAAAAAAGAAGAATGGATATGCAATGCCAGAATCAATTCCTTTAGGAGAGATTTTGTCCGATTTATCTAAACAACAATGGAAAGTTGGAAAAACAATTGGTAAAGGGGGATTCGGAGAAATATATACAGCTTGCAAAGCTAACAGTTGTCCTAAAAGTATTGATGATTACGAATATGTTGTTAAAATTGTAAGCAAACTTTTACTTTGTAGTAATTGGAATAGTTATGAAATTATTTTCTATTTTGTAGGAACCTCATGGAAATGGACCTTTATTTGTTGAGATGCATTTTTATATGAGGAATGCTAAGGAAGATGATGGTAGTTTATTTCATAAAAATTTTCAGATGATTTATTTAATTATGCAATTTCTCATTTTAGTAAAAAAATACATTAAACAAAACAAACTGAAAAATTTGGGTATGCCGTACTTACTTGGTAGTGGATCTCATGAAATAAATGGTCTAAAACATAGGTTTATAATTTTGCCTCGGTATGGTAAAGATATATGGCATTATTTTTTAGAAAATGGTAAAAAATTACCAGAACATACAATATATCGTCTAGCTTTACAAATGTTAGATGTTTACGAGTATATTCATAACTCTACGTACGTACATGGAGATTTAAAAGGAGCTAATATATTGCTTGGGCTAGGAAAAATGGGACTACAACAAGCATTTTTGGTAGATTTCGGTTTGGCTAGTCATTATACGACAAAAGATTTTAAACCTGATCCTAAAAAAATGCATAATGGAACAATTGAATACACTTCCAGAGATGCCCACTTAGGAGTACCAACAATGCGAGGAGATTTTGAAATTTTGGGATATAATTTGATTCATTGGTCCGGTGTTACATTACCATGGGAAATAAAAAATTTACTAAGTAATCCTACCCAAGTTCAAAAAGCGAAAGAAGCATTTATGCAAAATATTCCGAAAAGTCTTGATGAATTAAATAAAAAAACCACAGGTGAAGAATTTTAAATTTTTGCAAATATATGTATTTGCTTTTAAACTAATGCAAAAAATTGTAATATTTTTAATCTTATTTTTTTTAGACCCAATCAAACAGTATTTTCAATATATTGCTTCACTAAAATACAATGACAAACCGGAATATGAAAAATGTCGAAAAATATTTTTAAATGGATTAAAAGTTTTAAATAAGCCGAATTCGGGTGAACTAGAATTAAAATTTACCAGATCTCCCATTGCGAATTTAGTAAGGTCTAATGCAAAAACTTTCTCTGTTGATTCTCCAGTAAGTTTAAATGATGATTCTGATGACGAAGAAAATGAATCTGATGAAAATGAGGTAGTTTTACCATCACCACCTAGAAAAAAAAGCAGTTACAGTAGTCCAATGAAAAGGAAAACACCTCCATCAAAAAGTCCTGCTAATAAAAAGCAAAAGCAAGCTGCCCTTTCAAGATCCCCTAAGTTTCCTTCATCTAAACCTTCTAGCAGTAAATCACCAAGTAACAGTCCTGCAATTTCAACACCTGTGTTAAATATACGTAAAAATATACATACATCTTCCACAAAAAAACCAGGGAGTACTATAATTAATGACAATATAACACCTAATCCAAAAAGTAATAAAACCTATGAGTTTAATTTTGAATTGGATGTAAGTATGGATGCAAACGTAATAATAAATGTGAAACGAAAGAAAGCTAACAAAAAACAAGAAGAAAGTGGAACACCAAAACCAAAAGTAAATATTAGGCGTGTCAAAACTCCAACTCCAACAAAAGCGAGTCCTCTTGCTAAATCTCCGAAATCGAAGCGTTTTAAGTGAATATAAATGTGTATAATTGAAATTTGGAAAAAATCATGCATTTATAGTTTTTTATGTTATTACATTTTTTTTAGTCCGTTGATATTGATTATAAATTCATTAAATTTTGCAGTTGTAACGTGTGTATTAAAAAAATTTTGAATACATAAATGGTAATTTGATTGTTTAAATTTATACTTAAGAAAATTTTGTAAACAATAACTCTAAATACATTATATGAAATTCAGTAAAATTTTTTATAAGTAGTTACCTACCCACATTGAATTATTTAGATTACTTTGGTTTTTTTGCAAGAACGAAGTAAACTTATATAAAAGTAGGTAGGTATATTATGTATTTACAGTGCTTAACAGTTCAGGTAAACCTAAACCTTTTACTCTGCAACCTTTTTCTTTTTCGTAGAAAGATAAAATGTTAAATCTACATTTTTTGTTTTATTTCCCAATAAAGCTAAATTCAAAATTTATTTATCCATATTATAAATTTATACAACGAAAGGTGCTGGGTATTTTTGCATATTGTAGTACGTACCTACAAATGATTCCCCTATTTAAGGGAAGTTAATTGTTTTTAAATTAAGTTAGAAACAATTTTACCATAATATCCTAGAATATCCGTTACAAATTCTTTAATGTTATTCGCATGATTTTAATGTCCAAAAACAATTATATTTTGCACATCGTTGTTATGAGGTTTCATGTACATGTGCATATCTACACAATAGTGTGTAAAATATAAACCTAGCAGTCAATTTATTTAATATATTGAAAACTAAAATGTAGTTTTGTAAACTATAGGAATTTGTCGTAACAAACAATATTTGAGGTCAAAATTTTACGTTTAAATTGAAGTGTAAACAATTCTAATATGAATAAGAGGCCTAATAAAAATGATATATGTATAATTTAGCATAGGTACAAGCATTTAGAACCCCAGGTGTCTGAACTCTATCTATTTACATACATATTTGAAAATAATACATATATTTACATATGTATATCTATTTAACATATACATATTTATATAAAAAAAATATTCCTGTGAACAAGGGCTTAATTAGTATTAAAGTCGAAGTTATTGATACAGGGATTGTTCAAAACGAGAAATACCTGTATTTGCTTCAACTAAATAGTCAGTTGTTCAAAATATCATTTGAGAGGTTTAAGCAGTTTTGCTTATTGTGATGATTCTAACAAATTAACGTTGTAAAAAGAAATACCTACATACATACATATGTTCTTAAATTTTATGTACATTGTACATATTTGATTACCTGGTTAGATGCATTCAAACAAAATGCATAGTAAATTGTAAAGTATTTAATTCCATAGTAAATTGCAAAATTTTATATGTATACAAATTTATACAAAGTGTTTAACAAAAAAATTTATTTCAAATTTATGAATGCAGCTTTGATGTGCATTGCTATTTAAATTATGTAACGTATGAATGTACATCATGTGAAGTCAAGCCCTTGCATAGTTTTTAAATAATTTTGAATTTTCAATAAAATTAATAATTTTCAATAAAATTAATAATTTTATCAAAATATCGAATCTAAAAATTTGGAGAAATCCTTTTTTGTAATTTCAACAGTTAAAAATTGTTTTTTTTTTTTAGGAAACGACCTTGAAAATATTTTAATTACGGCAACACTTGTTATTATTTATATTTTGACAAAAAAAAAAGAAAAAAGAAAAGAGGAAAGAAACAAAAAAAAAAAGAATCAGCTGAAATTTTTAAATCGTAAAAAAACTAGTCAATCACGAACTGTAGCCGGGTAAAAACAAAGAAAAATTTCCTTTTTTTTTAAACAATATTGTAATTACAACAAATTCATTACAAAAACAAGAACAAAAAAATCAAGGAAAAATTATTTTAATAAATTTGTTTTTGTATATTTATTTTGAATTAGTTGCGAAATTCATTATCTATTAAGGTTTTATCGGTTAAATATTTTAAAGATAAAAGCAAATAAAAACCTTTTATTTATATTAATAGAACGGAAAGCCAATAATGTGAAATACGAAATAAAAAGTGTGTGTGTCTTTTCTTTTGAAGTTTGGATAAATTTAGTTTCATTTCCATTTTTTTTTTTGACACCGAAAACTCTTAATATAAATTCCAATAATTCTTAATATTTCGTGTGCATAAATTTAATATTTTAGCATAGAATTAATTTTATTAGGGTGCCAGTGGCATAAAGTTTTTCTTTCTAGAATTTTTTATGAATTTCTTTTGATGAAAATGATGACATCACCGTTATTGATATTTTCGAGTAGCTTTAGCTATTACACCGTAATAGTTTTGACCATATTCAATCACGTTCATTATGAAAATGCAATTGTTAGCGCTGATATATCAAGCAGTTTGGTAAGCAAGAATAAATTAAAAAACTTTACTATTTTTTAAGGACCAATGTGTAAAAATTGATATTTTGTGTGATGTTTTCCTTTTTTTTGTATATAAAAAATTCAATATTTTTAGTTAGATTTTAAGTTTTCATTTGTTGCTTCTTTAAATTTTTAAGTATAATTTATGTTTATGTTTGTATGTATGTACATTTAATAATAATGTATATAATATATGTATATTTGTAGTTTGTATTAAAATATTATTAAGGTATATTTAGTTACAAGAGCTTTTATATAAAAACGAACTTTATGTAAAATTTTTACATAAATGTTTTATTTTTTAGCTATGCATTTAGGTTATTAGGTATAATATTTATATATACATACATAGAAAGTTGTATCACATGTTTTTGACATTGGAAAAATGACTTTAATTTTTGTAAACAAATCAGATTTTGTTGCTTTTTTCTTTTATACAATACCAACGAATGTATAAAATGTTTGTGTGCTGGTTAGTATAAATGGTTTTTGTTGGCGGTTTTAAATTGAATTTTAAATTTTTTAAATTTTAATCACTTATTTATGTGGATAGTAACAAAAAATTTTTTTTAATTTGTTTTTTTCCAATTGATAATTAGAAATAGTTTAAATATTTTCGGTCAGGATATTCCAATTGATACATATTTTGGAGGTTATTATACTGAGCGGTATAATTACAAGTAGGTACACATGTACTTATGGAACTGGAATATTGCGGTTTCCATTTTTCCTCTGTTCTACGTTTTGTGTAGAAAAAATAGTTTAATCTATTGTATTATTATTCTGTTATTTTTTGGTGATCATGATCAACTATTAAATATGTCTCAAAAACATAGATTTTCAGGATGGCAAGGAAAATTTCTCACTTTAATATAAATAAAGATATCGTAATGAAATAAAATGCAAAATATTATTTCAAATAGTTTTCTTAATAGATCCAACTAAATTATTATTTTATTTAAACTATTTTACTTGAAGTTTTAATTATTTTGATTTAATTACAAATTTGCGAAACCAAAAGAAATGACAATTTATACTGTAAGATGAGATACGATTGAAAATAATATTTTTAGTGTTCCACACTAAGGCATTCCAAATTATTTTATGTGATATTAGTTTAGATCCACTAGCAACATTTATTTAAAAAAATTACAGTACGCTTATTATTGAAAGCACAATTGCAGTTTTGAATGCACAAATACCATATAAAAAAAAAATAGGTACCTACAATATTTCCATAGTCTTTTGAACAAATTAATACAAAAGTTTGAAATTTCTATTAAAGCTAAAAATCTGCACAAAAATTTATAGGTAACATGCATATGGTTCCAGGATAATAACGCAAGTAGGAAAAAGTTTTACTTTAAGTCTGCTTAAAATAGTTCTATTGGGAGCGTTCGATATTCTGTGTTATTTTGTATTTCACCTATGTGAGCACATCAGTAAATTTTATACTTACCTAAAGTACAAATTTGTGAAGAAGCACTTTAAGGGTTTTAAGAAAAGGTTAAAGTTGCGCGAGAATTTTTTAGTTTTCTTCTTTAGATTCGGTTTTTTGTGTTAATACCATTATGTCTATGTTACAGTTTACTGGTACATTTACGAATTCTATCTCTATATTTTAAAAACCAAAATAATTAGGTAAATATGTACGTACCTATGTAATTATGTAAATAATATTTTACTTAAGTAGGTAAGTACTTGAGTGTAAGTACATACGAGTATGTATAGCAATTTTCAAAAATGATCATTATTGATTGACAAATTCTTGTAACCGAATTGCACAAATTTTTTTAAAATTTTAAAATTACTTTACTTTAGTTTCCTAATTATTTATAACAAGTCATTTATAAGTGTAGCGCCAAATTGAAAATTTAAAATATCTTAGCATTTTTCTTTTGTAGCTTAAATATTTTTATTCTTATTTACTTACATATGGATGGTTTATGTTGAAAGTGACCTCAGTCCAATTCATTTAGATTTAAAGTAATCAAAAATTCAGTTAATTGATTATTATTGCTTTATAGAATATTTATTTTCTTATCTGACAACATAAGTTCCAAGTTTAATTCCAAGTCCCTAACATTACCATTGTTTTGAAAAAAAAAATTTTATAAATTGCAAAGTCTTGAGTCAATTTTGGAATAAACCATCGAATATTTAATATCAAAATATTTTAAATAAATTGTTGAGCAGTCAATAATTTAAATTAGATTTAAAAATTTTTTGTATTTTGAGTAGGTATACCTAGATTATTTTTTTATTATATGTATTATTTAAATTTAATTTTTTTTTATTAACTTACAAAATTTGCTTAAGCTTTCTGCACCAAATTTTTTTTCGTTTTAAAATTTTTACTTAAATTTACAATGTGGAGATTGCTTAATTTGTTAAGTAAAAATAGTTTGTAAATAACGCTTTAAATAAACATATGTATGTATGTATATGTATGTAAAATTTTTTTGTAAGATTGTATTTATTTTCATATTTTCTTTTATTTAAAATGCTTTGAATAAAATTTTTTGTTACTTAATATATTTTGTGTTTATTTTATTTTGGTTATTAAGTATTTTATAATGACAGTTTTCAGCTTGGCAATAAGTAAAGATATTTCTTTAGCAACTTGAGCTTGCGACAGACGTGCCTATATTACATAATATGTGGGTAAAATTTACAATATATTTTTGCAATGCATTTCGTGTTAATTGCAGTAGCGTAAAGTTGTTTTCAATACGAGTTTTTTTTATGTAAAAGTAAACCGGTAGTTTTTATTTGTTTAAAACATGCTTACACAAACTTAATACTTACATATGTAGCTTTATAGTTTCCGAAATTTTCAAAAACACAATATTTATGTTTGTATATATGTGTCATTTATTATACGAAAGCCTATACAAATTCATTTAAAAGTCAATTTTATCAGATGCATTACAAATTAAGAACTGCGGTAGTCGAAGTTTTTTTTAGAAATTTTTGTAATACTTAGTTCTTGCATTTTGGATGGCGGACTTATTTTATAATGTTGTAAAACAAAAGATATCAATTCAAATTTATATAATTAGTTTCACATAATGTTTTCAAAGTCTAATTCTAGAAAAAGTGAGTGCATACCTGCTAATTATATCCTCTTAAAAGTAAATTTTGTGTGTTTTTTCATATACAAAATAAATACACTTACTTAATTAATTGCCTTAACTTTCAAGTTCACTGTTGAAACCATTTGGTTTTATTCTATGTATTCATGAAATATATTAATTCGTATTGTGTACTTTCTTCATTGTAATGAAAAAAAAATAATTTCAATTTAATAATTAAAATTTGTAGACGGTATTGATGCATATATACATACATATATAATAATTACATGGATACTTACATATGAATAAGGCTGAAAAATGTTATACCTACATACAATTCATGAATTTAATATGGTCTATATGAGTATATTTATTATGTGTGTATTTAATATTATTATTTAATTATAGCTAGTTAGATTTATTTAATGATGTGCGATGAGTGTCCTACATAAAGTAAGTATTATATTATAGTAACGCTAATAATATGTGTATATGTATTGTGCTTAATTAGAATTTCAATAGCAATTAAAGTAAGATCAATTGAAATGCACAAAAATAATGATTGGCTTTTGCTATACACAAGTAAATTCACCAGCACTGGCAATTTCATGGAATGGTAAGTCATGAATGCAAGGAATATAAATGCTAATATAATTTGAGGGTGTTAAGATCAATAAATATATTTACTCCAACATAATGTTTAGTAAAGAATCTGTTTGCTTTATTTTGTTCATCTACCCTTTCATTGTTAATAAAACTTTTAGACGTTGTAAGATAGAAAACTGCTATTTTGTACACAAACCAATTTTTCGTGCACCTTTTCATAAATTATAATTTTTTTTGTGGAAATAATTAAAACATTAATGTTCAGAAACGCGTGTTTAAATAAACCTCTACTGTTACTGATTTCTTTGAAACTGTAACTTTAAAATTATTCCTATAAAACCTATAAAGAATAGCCATGGGCTTTAAAATTAGGTATTACCAAGTTAGCATTAATTTTTACAAGGAAAATCTTTAAAACGTATAATTTTCAGCAATAAGTACTAAATTTGATGGCCTATACTTAAAAGAAGAAGGTAAAAATGAAGAATGTATACGTGAAAATTCAACGAAAATAGCCTTACTCTTCTATGATTTCAATGCGATTTTTAACCGTCATCAGAACGATAATTATCTCAGAACAAAAATTAAAGGCAAATTTTATTTAAATTGTGATAGATTTATGTATGATGATTCTGTCTAACAGAATAATTACTATTTTTGATATTAAAATAAATTAAAAGAAGTGTTCTAATTTTTAATTCTTCTCGGCATCTATTCTGTATGACAAAGATATCTTTATTAAATAAGTAATGATTCCCAATTTAGTGCAAAGTCAAATTTTTCTTATTAAATTGAAATTTTTTTCTTATAATATTGTTTTAGCATATGTGTTTGTCTTTGTTGTGCTAGTAGTAGTACCGGCATTTGTCTTATAAAAAATTGATGTCATGACGGCAAAAAGAACTTTAAAGATAGTTTTTAAAAAAATATTATAAAAAGAATTTGCATTTAAAAAAAAAATTAAAGCCATCGTCGACATTATTTTATTGAATTGAAGATATTCTGTATCAAATAAAAAACGTTTCCTTATACATACGTATGTACGTAATAATTTTTTGTATATGAGCATACAGCTCCTATAAGTATATTACCATCTATATGTATTATGCACATCCATGAGCACATTTATACTTATAAATTCGTTTATCTAATGAAATATGATTTAAGTAACGCAGTTATAAGAAAATTCTTAGAAATTCATTTGAACTTGGTGGCAGCACAAATAAAAAATGCAAATTTGTTTATTTATTTTTATGAATATTTTAACAAAAAAAAAAAAAAGCAAAAATAAACATCTAAGTGTTAAAAATATTTAGAAACTGTTGGTTTTATATTAGAGTCTTGTTATTATTTTTTTATTATTTTAATTTGATCATTGAAGTTAGAAATTTTAAATGATATTAAATATTGAACGCTCATACTGTAGCAATATAGTGTGGGTTGTTATCAAATTGTATGTACATAGCTTTACGGGTTATACAATTGTATACATACAATGAAATGACCCTTTAAGGAATAACTGTAAAGAATCTCGATAATATAAGAAATATGGTATGGAAGAAAAAGTATTTTTAGTTTTTTTTTATCAAGAATATTATAAAAAAATTTTTTAAAATCCCACATGAAATGTGGACGTTATATTAGACGAATTATGTATGGAATATTGTCGTATTAGGGCGCTATACCGTATATAGAATTAATGCTCTTTTGATATATGTATGTGGATACATATGCATTTAGACACATACATGTGTATATTTATATAGGGTTTATAGTATTATTATGAATAGCACCCATACAGGTTTCGAAACTGTTTGTTTTTATTTAATTAATTTTGCATTTATAAACACAATATTTCATTAGAATTGTTATGTGGGCGAAAACTTTGATGATTTTAACCTGTATCCAATATGTCGGTAATTTACTAGTAAAATAAATTCTAGATAGAACCAAAACAGGTTCTTAGAAAAGCCTTTTTAATTGAAGTACCTATAATGATTTTATAAATTAAATTCTTTCTTGAAACTTTTAAAGAACGACATTATTGGGGCATTGCTATATAAAATCTATTGGGATTCTTTGCGCATTTTCTAACCAAGAATATTAATTTATTATATTGTATATTATATATTTTGTGTAAGTATACGTACCTATAATTCAAATGATAGCAAATATGTATGTAGAAAATGCGATTATTTTTTATTTGGAAGTAGATATGCCAATGCTATTTTAGATATTGTAAGTATTTTATGTAAGTATAGTGTTGTTCTTTTATGTTTACATAAATGTTGAATAAGTACAAACTGTAAAATTGCTTTTTTTATAATAAAGTCTCTATTAGACCGAAAATAATTTCTAACTTTCTCTAAACTTATTTTACAGGTCTTTGATTCTAATTCATGTTTGTTAACGGAGCCTTATTATAATTATACATTTAACCTTTCATTGAGTACAGATTTAGGACGTCATATTATTGGTAATTCACCTAACGAACAAATTGATTTTAATTTTTGTTCAAGCTTCGATCGAAAATGTGGAGATAAACAAAATGTACATGCTTGCTTAGAGAAGAATGGTAAAAAATATGTTTTAGGTAAGTTTTATAAACCTTACAAGATGCCGCAATATAAATAAATATTTTTAAATAGCATGTACATACATTTGTATACATATATAAATATGATAATAAATTTTTGAATTCTTTTTTAGGAACAAGTCAAAAAATTACTTACAATAATGGACGAATTACATTTATATATGATGGTGGTGAGCCTTGTGAAAATGGAAAAAATTATCAACTATCTATTGATTTACAATGTGATTATACAATTGATTCTCAATTATTTGGTTTTCAAAATACCAATGATTCCTGTTTTTATTATCTTAAATGGGAAGATAGTCGTGCCTGTTTACCAGTTCCAGAAAAAATACATGGAGAATGTAAAATAACTGATAAAGATTTTACTTTTGATTTTTCGCCATTGGGTGAATTTAATTATAGGTAAAAAGAATTTTTTATTTTATTATAAATTTTAAAATGTTGAAGCCTAAAAAAATGTTGAAATTAATTTTACATAAATTTTTTAGAGTTTCAGATAGAGATAATTCTGAATTTATTATAAATCCATGCCAACCAGTTTTATATGATTTTAATGCAACATGTCCATCTGGTAGCAGTATTTGTTATTATGCAGGTAAAGAGGAATTAAGTAAAAGATTTACTAGTTATGGTACAGCAAATCCAAATCCTGTAATGGAAGACAATAATCCTGTGATAATATACAATTCAGATAAACAATGTAATGATACGCATAGCATGAGATCGAAAATTTATTTCCATTGTGATTGGGTAAGATAAAATTTATTTTTAAATCTTAACCTTTTCCTATGAAGTTTGTGTGAATTTACAAATATTTTTTATTATTTATTCTTCTTTTTTAATTACATACAAAATCTAGAAGAATGAATATGGAAATCCAAAATATAATCATTTTTCGGAATGTACGTATCATTTTGTTTGGTTAACATCATTTGCATGTAGAAGGGGCGAAAAAGAAGATGATATACCGTGTGTTTTACGAGATCCTTCAACCGCATTTTTGTATGTTCCCATTAATTTTTATAAAATGAAAACAATTTTTAATTTTCTCTAATTTTTATTTTAGATATAATATGACAGATTTGGCAAATAAATATTATGAAAGCGATTTTAATGGAAAGAAGTATTCATTTGCTATTTGTGAATCGAATGACGAAAAGAATGGTTCGTTTAACAGCTTATTAAATTATCATATTCAGCATTGTTTACTTTCACAATAATTTTTATTCCTTGAAAATAATTATTAATTAACAAATTTATGTTCTTCGATTTCTTGTTTATTCGAATTGTATTAAGACTGTGTTAGGCACTCAAGATTTTCCTAACTTCAATTTTCTTAAGATATAAAATCTACTTTCTGATTCTCCCAATTTGAGAAGTGTACAATTCCATAACTTTAACATTTCAATACTACTAACTTATATAAAATTTACGAAATCAATCTTGTTTTCGATTTAGAAAAATTGTAAAAAGAAATGTTTTGTCTATTTGTATTAATTTTTCTATGTGTTGTAAGGTACATTAATTTTTAGCTCAAAATTGAAATCAAATCAAATATAATTTAATTTAATTTGAAGAATTTACTTTGTTTATAATATTGAAACTGTTCTTTACTTAAATACTTCATTTCTCGAGATATATTTCTATGTATTTACTTTATTCTTTACTATATTTCATTTACCTCCCTGTTTTCAGGTGCTTATTTGTTGAATGATGGTAAAAAAGACAGTCGGGGTCGAATATCTTCAATTTTATTACGTCATAAAACTGGTGTACCATATTTGAGTTATGATTCAGATGTACGATGCTCAGATTCGATGAAATGGAAAACAGAAATATATTTTGTGTGTCCTGAAAATGTATCAAATGAAAATAAAATCGAAATTTTAAATGATACTAATTGTAATTTACAAATAAATTTTGAAACAAAATTGGCTTGTCAATACGAAGTTTCATGTAATATTCCTCAATATAATATTGATTTGACTTCATTAATTAATACTACAGGATACTATATTGCAAAAATTAATGATTCTTTTAAGGATACTATAAAATCAAAAGAGGTAAAAATTGAAATCCTTTTTTTTTTATAAACATCCAATTAAAAATGTAAAATTTTCAGTTCTTAATTAATGTTTGCCGGCCTGTTAAAAATATAAAATCTGAGAAATGTTATGATGGATCTGGTGCATGTGTGGTATCTTTAGATAGCAATAATAAAATAATTGATGAATTGGTAAGTATGTAAATATTTTATAAAAAAAAAGAAAACAGTTGGTTTAAATTGCAATTTTTATCAAGTCTTCCTTTTTAATGTTTAATTAATTTTAAGATTACAAAAGCATGTCTATATATTGATTAATATATTTTTTTTTAGCGAAAAAGAAATTAATTTATAGAAATTCATTAGTAATTGTGATCATTAAATTTTTGGACAACTTTTAAATAATTTTTAATGGAAAATTTTATTCAAAAGAGTACACACATTTTGCTAAATCTGAAATTATTGAATGAGAATGGAATTTTCTATTTAAGTAGGAAAATAAGTTTAAGTTACTTTCTGTCTTTGATAATTCAATGATTTTTAATGGAAATCAGATTAATTTTTCCTAATAAAGCATTTTTTTTAAATAATTTAGCTTCTTATAGCAGTTTGATATTGCATTTGATTCGTTTTCGTTTTGATTATTTTGTTATGAAAATTCTGTAAAATCACTAGGATTTTAAGAATACAAAATTTAATGTTTAATCTTTATTAAAATCTAAATTTATGCGATTGAAAACTAATAAAAACGTTCAATGGATTCATTTTTTAATTTGTGAATTATTTTGAATGTAACCATTAGGAAATTTCAAAAAATCATCTTTGTTTTTAAAAAGTTTTGATAAGTTTTGAATCGCAGTGTATTACATCCAATTAACATTAATGTAATAAATACTAAAATGTTGTAAGACTACAAGTTAAGAACATCTGTAATAATGCTGACTCAGAAAAATTAGACTTGAAATTATTCTTACTGCTAAAAGAAAATTTTAAAATTAATAATTAATCCTGTTAAAATTTTTTCCATTTGCCAAAACTTCTAAAAATTTGGGGAAATATTATTAAAACAGTAACGTTAATATTTAGTGCCTATGAGTGTGTATAAGTATTAAAAAAGGATATAATTTTTTATTAAGAATTTTTTGTTTCAGTGTGATAGGGGGTGACGGCAAAGTCATTTCATTTTAAATTATTCCTAATGGTGTAATAAAGTTTTATATGATTTTCAATTTATTTCATTTCTATAAAAAGACAGACAAATAAATTCCTCTCACCTTGATCAATCAATTTTATCAAAATTGAGTTCTTTTTATTTTTTTTTTTAAACATTTTTTTTTTATTAAAATATCTTAAAGTTGTTTTATTTGTGTGTCGTTGTGTAAATTCAAAGGTCGGTAGGCAGATGATGGTATAGCAGAAGATTTTTTCTCATTCCAAAAAATAAAACAAAATTCTTTTTATTTTTATTGTATGTGGCACTTTTTAGGATCCTTACTATGTAAGGATAAAATTCGCGATGTCATAATAGATTTTTGTATTCATACTGGTACTTACATATATATTTTACAAGAAAATGTCTTTAAAACGTTTTCACTTTATGAACCTTTAAAAGGCATTGAGCGGTTTTCCTTTATGTGAATGTTTTTAAGGTAAATAGGGTGGTAAAATAAAATAGGGGGAAAAAAATGCTTTTATTTTTTGTTTTTGTGTTAAAAAAGTATTTTTTTGTCTTAAATTTAAATGTCTAATATATTTTTTGAGGCTTTAAATGCAAAGAAATATTATTATGCGTATGGTACTTATTTAGCTTCGTTTATTTCGTTTAGATACAAGTAAGGTATTTAAATAAAAATGTACGTTTAATGTACATACATACATATATAAAAATTTAGCATCCTTATCAACTGTAGAGTGAAAATTTTCTTTTTTTAATTTTGAATAAAGTTAAAACTTTGTTATAGATGTAAAATAATATCAATTTATTTGAGAAATTTTGGCAGGATTGCCAATTTGTGATGTAGATACTATATGAAATTAGTTGCTTTATTAATCGTCTATAGCTACTCTAATCGAAATGTTTTATTTCTAATGACTTAGAAACTTTAGATTAAATGTTCTTATTTTCCTTATAATTCTTTGCAGTTTTGAATTTTTGTCAACTTTTAGGTTTTTACATCTGCTTGTGTTAAATGATTACTTTTTGAATAAAATACTTTTTATTGAACTCATTTGCCGGTTCTCTGCTTTTCAAAACTCTTTCTCGTTACTGATTCTCTTTGCTAGTTTTTCTTTTTCAACGTATTGCTATTTAGGATTGTTATTCATAGCGTTCCCAAATTTGTATGTAACTGGCAATGATATTAGATGTCTTATTAAAAAAATTAAACAAAAAAGAAAAAGAACATTTCTTGAAATAAAAACTTGGGTCGCATCAGTACACAATTACTTTTATAAAATGTTTTAAGTAGATTTGTCAAAAATATATTTTTGGGTTTACATAACAATCATAAACTCTTTCTTGAAAATTTAATAACATCTATAAAATGTTTAGATTATGTATACGAATGTGACGACGCGTATTTTATAAAAATTCAACTGCTACCAAAAATTTGCTGAAATTCTTTTGTAGCAACTAGCAATATAACAATATTACATTTAACAGGTTAGTTTGGAGCTAAAAACTACTCAGAATTAGCCCGATGGTATGAGAATAAATGTGCATAAAGACTCTTCCAAAAAATTTCTTTGTCCGACTTTGAAAAGTCTAGTTTGTAATCTTATTCGTTCTCAAATAGAATGCCATCAAAATAATTTTTTCCTCTAAACGAAATTTCTTTTCTTTAATTTTTTGTTTTTGCAAGATTACAAAAAAAAATTTTTAAAAATCCGAAATTTAAATTATTTTTTATTTTTAAATTGGACGATATTTTTATTAGATGTTTTTCGTTTAAGATTGTAAAACCAAGTGCAAAAAATTTAAAATTTAAAGTGTTCAATAAATTGGGTATTCAGTAAACCTTAGACTCTAGATACAATTTGGCAATGAAATATTTTTTTTTGTAAATTATGCAAAAGGATAACGTAAATATTATGATTTTGTTCTGAATACAATTATGAAAATGAATTTTTTTTATAATATTAAAATTTTTTCTTCTATCTTGTTTAATTTTTTTAAGGCACTTTTATAATAGAGTAATGAGGGGTAGTGAAATTTAAGTTAGGTTATAAGCAGTAGGAAAAAATTATAATTTGATTTAAAATTTATAGTCTAAATTTTTCTTCGTTTTTCGTAAGGATTTAACAATTTTATTTTACTTTTTTCTTTTATGGAGAACATTCATTTCTTAGGATAATTTTCGTAGAGAGAATTTATCTATAGATTCTTAAATATTCAAATAAATTGTTACTACGTATTTTCTTTTTCTTTGTTTATTGTTAATTTTATTAAGAAAAAAAAAAAATTTACGGAAATTATTTGTATGTTTACATACGTTAAAAATGTAGAAAATATAACAATTTTTTTTATGCTTTGTAATTTTTTAGGCATTAAAAATAATTTAAAATTAAATGCTTCCGTAAATGTTTTTGTTAATACTTTATCTACAGGGTCTTCAATATACGTTCAGTAAGATTATTGCTTATGTTAATAAGTGCAGATGCTTCAAGCAAGAGTGTAGGTGTTAATCGTTATTTAAAATTAATAACGAATTTGTTTCTCTTAAGAAATCTTGATATTCTTTTTATATAATTAGAAACATTCTTGCAGATCTGCAGGGTTAACAAAAGCTAAATTTTCATGAAGGCTGTAACTATAATCATTTTTTCTTTATTTAAGATTTGTGCATATTAAGTTTTAAGTTTGGTCCATATTTTCTATTCACATTTAATAAATTGTTAAAATATAATCTAAGTCTGCAAAATTATGTATAGTGTTGTATTAAATTGGGCATATTCGCTTACAATTTATGTCGTAAATAAAATAAAATAATATTGCGTACTCTTAAAATTTTAACATTAGCAAAATTTAGGATTAATATTGGAATTGAACATAAACCTTATTATGGATGAATTCAAAAATACAATCAATTTGGAAAATAGATAAAATTGAATTTTAAATCAATAAATCGAAGTAACGAATTATATATATTTTGCTAATAAAATCAAAATCAATATGAGGGGGAAATTGCGACCTTTTTGATAATTTTTTTGTGATTTTTTTTGAAAGATAATTGTTTTGTTTTGTTATCTTTCGGAAATAAATAAAAAAATGGTTCCTTCGTAATTCAAAATGATGAAATTATTAAAAAAAAATTTGAATAAAATAAATTTTAAATTTATTTAAAAAAAAATAATTTTAGTTACTCGAACAGCTTACCTCCCGTGAATTTAATTTTGGTATGAGTTCGTCAAAATTCAAGTCTTAGTTTTGATTCGGAATAATTATGAAAATCATAGTTTCTAACTACAAAATAAAAAGTTATTTTAGGTTTTGATATCAAAGACACTGTGTAAATGTATAGATTGCGTAAAAAACTTCGCATGCAAACGCACTCAACGCGCTCAACTTAACTCGTAGCTCATAAAAATTTACGAGTGAATTCTTCGAGTCCATATGAATTTTATGGTCATTGCAAAATAAATACAATCAGCCTTCAATTTTACAATCAACACTCGTAGAATCCTTCGAATTATACAGATTTAGCTATAACGCAATCAAATCATGATTTAGGTGCAATCAAATAAATTACTCTATTACGAATATTTTGAGCAAAATTTTAGTAATTCCAAATTGATAATAATGACATAGAGAAACGAACGAAATTTATGACAGCGTTGAATATTTCATATGAGCCCATTACTAATGAATTCAATACTAATCTTTAATTCTAACATAAATTTCAAAAATATCCGATTATATATGTAACACAGATTTAAAATTTCAATATTTTATATTTAAATTTATATTTTGAATTTAAAATCGATTTGTACAAAAAAAATTATGTATATATGTCAAATACACTTCTTCACCGTAACAAAACTTGTTCAAAATATTTGCCTCCACTTATATGTGAATTTATGCATGTACATACATAGTATATAATATTTCACATCAATAGAGTAAACCTTTCGGTTATAAATAACTACAAGTTTGGAAATTTTTTCTTTGTCAAGTACCATTGTATTATATGTAT